AATGCAATGACAATGAATACCTTGATAACTCCTTGGTCTTTATTAGGTGTTACATCAATACCCTTAGCAGCAAACACAGCCGTGGCTGGCTGGCCATCCATAGTCAGATCCTGATCAGTGGTCATGTCTGCGTGTGGGCATCACACGGTAACACTGTAAACATTATGAACACACAAGCCTATGTGTTAACAATCTGAGCACCATAAATAATATGTCCTCGTGCCTCATGTTTTCACTTTGAGACAAGCTTGCAACAAGGAAAATGGCACATGAAATAAATCTAATTTGTGGAGCAGGCCTGGAAAATCACAGTCTCAGACAAAAATATCGGTGCTGGATCTCCATAATCCACCCAGTAAATAGGACTTTCTCCTCCATATTATATAACTTGTAGCTATTTAAGGGCACATGTTCTAAATCCATGAAGTGTACTGGAGATGTATTTACAGTTTTATTGCAAAAGCCACAGTAACATTGATCCCAGCTGTATGAGGAACATTACGTTGCGCTGCAGTTGTGATATCGCTTAACTGTACCGCACCTTGTCTGCTCCCCCACAGATGAAGTAATTACATAAATGTAATGTCAAAGGCAGCAGTGTGTTGCTTACTTCAGTCTCTTTATTTTGAAACATGAGCTGTACTCACAGAGGAACAGTATGTTCAAGACTGTTCGTTTATGACCCTTTGTGTTCTTTGTCAACCTATAAATGACATCCACATATTTTATGGACACCACAATTTATAGCTCAGCACAGCACAGCCTCATTTCGATATTTTCACTGTTCATTTTGTAATGACTATTTCAAAATTAGTCTTTTTACGGAGAGCCTTGTACGTGCAGGAAACGTGTGGGCTCACACACTCTGATAGAGCTGCGCCATCACCAATACAGTCATGTAATCTCTCTGAGTGTTTGTGATGAGGCAGGTTAAAATCTTGAATTTGATCATGACTAAGGTGTTACACTGATATAGTGTCTTATCAGAATATGAGGCCACATGCTGTCAGATGTTGTCCTCTGGGTCTTTTGGCTGCGCTACTGTTGAGTAGCGTGTTTTTTTAAACGGTATTTGACCTCTAGCTGCACAGACATCATATCAACACAATTACTGATCCCATTTTAAGATTTTTTTAAGATTAAAATTTTTGATAACTTTTTGTACTTCCACACAACAAATAAGCTGATTCACATAAATATTATTAAACAAATTAGACAAAGAATTCAATTTTTCTTTTTTCTTTCTCTTTGCCCAAAAAACCCAGATGTTACACACTGTTGTGCAGAGATAGATAGATAGATAGATAGATAGATAAGGCACCGTCTGGTCGAAGAATAAGTAAACAAGATGACTAATCTGAACAGACATTTGATGCTCAGTGCTATGGAAACATTCTGTTGGTACCAAAAAAGTAGTCAGATTTGATACCCAACACAGATAGATAGATAGATAGATAGATAGATAGATAGATAGATAGATAGATAGCTGCTGCCACCATTTCACACCTCCGTGTGGCAAAAAGACACCAGCAGCTTTACAAGAGCAATAAAACTGTAATGACCTGTTGTTGCTACAGCTGCTAAATGTTGCCTCTCTCATCACAGGAGCAATCGTTGTCGACATGCACGGTTACTCAATGCCCCAGTACACATGGCTGCAGGCATTTTCGGTCTCCCCTGGCAGAATAATCATGACATTGTGCGAAGACAATGAAAAAGCTAGTTAGCTATGTTAAGCATGTTGGCAAACACTATTCGGTGATTATCATCACATGCAACAGCTGAGACATTAACGCTTGCTCGAATAGCATCGGCTCACAGCTGCTCTGGGTCTGTGTCAGGACGATGTCACTTATGTTAGGCTTTAACGTTAAGGCCAAAGATGTCAAGTAAAGATTACTGATGAAAACCTTTTGAGCCCAAAGTGGCTCGTCATTAGGTACAGAGGTGAAGACAATTTCAGCCCAAAATGTTTTCAAATGTAGAAAGGTCAAAGAGTTTTTAAAGGGGCTTTCTACAAAGTGTTGGGAGGCAGAACTGTAAAGTTTTTTTTTGAGTCAGCACCTGGACAAGATGTGATGAGGAGAACTAAATAAAGATACGAGTTAGTCTCACTGATACCGCAGTTAAGACTCTGGCTTGAAAACCTTTATCAGATCCTATCTTACTGTAACTCTCAGCCATCACTCAAGCTCTTTACACACAATATCATGTAACAGGACACGTTTAGATAGTGCAGGGTTTCTCTAATGTGCTGAAGTAAACCCTTTTTAAAAATCAAATTAAACCTGCCAATCTGAGTAACATCATATTCGCAATTACTCCAAAGCCGACAGACAGTACTGCGAGGGGTAGGTTACACAGGGTGCTGATGATGGTTATGTGGCCACTTAGTGTTTCCACAGAAACAGTTTAAGGTTAAAGAAATGGCAGCTCTCGTCCTCTGCATCAGTTGTCTAGATTTTTCCACCAGTTGTTCTGTCTTCACTCTGTGGACATCCCAGATTCTGCTGATGACCGTGTACAAATATTAGGATATTCTGGTGACTAAGTTCTTCAAGAGCCTGCAAGTATGAAAATGAAGCAATAGAGCTCGGCCTCAGATGCGTCAACTTGGCTTTAAGCTCATGGCATTGAATATCGATCAAGAAATAGACCTGAACTCATTTTCTTCATGTGATCTTAGCCATATGGCACACCATGTTCCTTGACCTACCGGGTAAAACCATGAACATCTGTCTCGGTGATATCTGCTCAATTTATTCTGCTTCTCCAATTGTGTGTCACTCTCAAAGATCAAGTGTGCGCGTTCTGAGCCCTTCAGCACAGGCGCAGCACAAAATGTCCATCTCTGCGTAGCAACACCTCTTGTCCTGTGTAGTTTAAATTTCATGGATTTCATTTTTAGATGTAACTCGTTGTACATGCTTGAGTGTGTGCATATGTGTGTGTGCGTGTGTGTGTGTATGTGTGTCTGAACACAATGTTCCTTCTATTCACAGTTCCCCGCTGGCAAAGCCTGATGGTGTTCACCAATCTGAGACCCCCTCACGTACAAGCCAGCTTCAATTTTTGAATGAAAATAAGCAGATCTTAATTATCTAAACTGACCATACCTTAACATTTACATTAACATGTGATGTAAATGTAAATAAAGCAAGTGGTGTGATAGTATCATGAATTAACATCATTGATATATTTGTGTAGTTAAAACTTATTCAGTCCATCATTATTATCCTTTAACTTTCTGGTTTTATTGTATGAAAGAATTAATAATTAAACACTAAGCAGGGAGACCAACTGTAAATAGTTACAACACAGCCAAATGGCATGTAGTCTGCATGTTCCTAAACTCAGATACCCTGCGGAGGAATGCAGGAACAGAACACAATGAGGCAAAGACCACATCTACAGACGCATACGGTGTATCTGTACATTCTGTCTCACATCCGTACTCTGCTGCTGATTCATATGAGAACATGTGAGCACACACTGTGCATGACCAACCCATATACTGACATCCTGAGGCAGAGCATTGTCTGGCAGTGGAGGTTCTTTTTCAACCTGACAAAGGCATCACAGGGAGTTTAAAAAAATGATGCAAGAAAAGCTGATTTTATGGACATCACTTTTTAGAAATGCTGCTATACTGGGTCATGTACTTTTAATGTGTAATGACAGAGCATACCTTTGGTTTTTCCTGTTTATTATAAGGCAAATGTAAAGAAGAGTATCTTTACATGTCAGTGTTTTATTCTCATTAAATATCTGCCTCGGGCTGTGTGATTCATCTCTGGGACATTGTCTCAATCTGTGTCCATCTCTGCTTAAATCTCACCTCCTCATCTAAATGTAAACATGTATGACAACACATGTATATTTTAAGCTATTCAAAGGGTATCGTTATGCCCCGTAGTGTATAACTTGGTCCCACATGAGAAAGAGTCAGCACAGTTAATGTGACCAATTCTCGGAACAGTGTACAAACTGTACTTTGTGAAGATACACCTAAGCCTAAAGGGATCCTGGATATAAACTGTTGTCTTCAGCCACCTCCATAGGAAACCACAGCCAAGTGCCACACACACATGCACGCTCACACACACACACACACACACACACACACACACACACACAGACCTATAAACACACATATACAGGAGGGCTGATAAGACTCCCTTATTTTCCACAGCACAGTGGGATACAGTTAACCTCAAATGCCCCCGCACATGTGAAAAATTTAACATCCACCCTAGAACATCCTATAATCAGACAACCCCAATAACACATCTTGATTTTGTTTCCTCTAAATAATGACATACATAAACAGACTTTATGTTTTATGATGTATAACAAGTGTCCCTTTAACTTAGGCAGGCGTGAACAGAGAGCTGGTAAACCTGATGCATTAATTAAGTCATTAATTATTTTATTCACAGGAGAATTAAATGAATAAGAATAAACACTTACATGTACTTGCGTGCGCTCCTTTTCTCTTACAGTTTCTCCCCCAAAATGACCGAAGACCTGCTGAAATTTGAAATAGTCGGTGGATTTTTTTTCTTTCTTTTTTTTTTTTTTTTTTTTTGGAAACCACGTCTATTCCTCCAAATTCAATCCCGCCCCTCTCATCATATATCCAGGGTACTAAATGTTCTGCTCATGTGGTTGTTATGTCGCGCTGGCTTTTTTTGTCCTGCTCTCCCTTTATCCCTCTCCCGTCTCACTGGCGATAAACGTGCCGGTGAAGTAGCCACATGGATCTCAGACTTGAAAATGACACTGGAGAGGCAGAGGCACACACAGGAGAGCAGAGCAGAGGAGAGAGAGAGAGGCACATAGAGTAGAATAGAGTAGAGTTGTGGGAGGGCGTTTAGTGTAAAATTAAGGGGCAGGTCTTGGAAAGCAGCCACAAAGTAACACAATGTTCCGGCTGTACTGTAGCTGTACCGCTGCCGCTGCTGATGAGAACACTGTGTTCCAATAGACACCCTGACCTGTAACCCGTTCCGTGCCGAGCCAGGCCGGGAACAGCCTGTACCGCAGCAGGCTGTCCTCTCCGCTCAGCTGACAACACATATCATCAACACTGCTGTGTAATAGGCGAGCCCTGGTCACACAGACGGGATGTGTAAGCACCGAAATAAAAGCACACCCCACTGCCTGATAAGACGCGCGGTGAGACGGATTACTGTTTCTGTAGGAGACGGTAAAACCCCGCCTTTTTGTATTTTTGTTCACCGGGGATTTGAGCGTTTTATGTACAATTGCTGTAAGGTTTCTGTAACTTATGTGAAGGTAGGGATTTCGACAAAAGCTCATGATTGTATGCTTTTCATTATTATATGCCTACTGCTTACTATATAGTGGTAATTTTCCTTTTATTGTGACCATTTGTCAACACCGGTGTTTACATTACTGCAGTGTTTTCAGTGCTCAAACAAGTATTTACATCTCTTATATAAAAAGTTGCAACACTATGATGAAAAATACAAGTCATAATTTTGGACCAGAATAAAAGTAAACTACATTTAAGGATTAAAAGTCAAAGTTCTCACCAATAATTATATTTATACCTAATTTATCCATGTGTCATTATCTAATTTTTATTTTAAAGTATAATACATGTGTGAACTAATAACTTATAAACCTGCTTAAGGTATAATTTGGGGAAGTTTATTGTGTCATATTCAATGAGGTCTTATTTTGCAAGTCAAATTTCAGTCTGCCAAGAAAATATAGCCTACAGCTGTTTTGCACAAAGTGTGTCAAAACTGTCACCTGACTAAATATAGCCCTGTTACTTCCTACCTAAACTGATTCTGTAGCCTTGGTAAGTTTTCCCTCTCAGCAGTATTAGTAGTATTACACTGGGTCGGTGAAGATTGTCAGTCAGCCAGTTCATGGTGATCATAAGTGCTTTATCGTAGGCAACTGTACTTGCTTGAGTTGAAGGATACCCAGTGAACAGTTGCGTGAACGTTAGCTGTAGGATTGTCTGCATGGGTCAAGCAGTCTTCTTTACATAGTCTATGTGGAACATTCCTGTTTTGCGAACTACTGTCTGAGAACTACCGCAAAACTTTGATTCATAGGGGCTATTCAGGGGCTATTATTTGCTTAAGTCTCTGAAATCAACAGGTGTCTATATGGGGCAGTCCTTTAATTCCTTTCACACAAAACTGTTGCTCAGCAAACATCAGGAAACATAATCAAATTGTTTATTTAAACCACTAAGAATATTACTTGTATAAAAACTAGGCTTCAGATATGTCAATTATGAATCATTCATTTGATCTAGCTTCGACAGACAGCGCATCGGAGAGAGAAGATTAAGGCACCCGGCATACCAACACAACCCCACTTTGTCCTATTAAAACAATACTCCGTACAGACTAAAGAAATATGAATAACTTACAGGGTAATCGAGGAATGGACACATAATTTGAGGTAGCCAACAATCAGGTTTTATACATCCGAAGAACTCGGCAACTTGGCAACCAGACCAGGCGTCTAATTGACACAAGCATTTATTTGTCAAAATGTGTAGCCACACCAGGCTAGTAAAAGGGACTAGGTGTTTAATTGGGACAAGATTTTTAAAAATAAGTTTTACAGTACCAAAGTGTTTGGCAAACTACCGTGGGAAAACGCTGTTGCAATGCCCCGCTAACCGCTAAACTGTTCTGGGGACGTTTTGCCCTGACAGGGACGTTCTCAGAGGGTTCTGTTTGGGCTTGTATGCTTTGACTGGTAATAATGCTACTATTTACCATGGACACAGATGACAACACACACCTTTGACTATAGTGACAAATGTCTTCATCAGTTCACAGCTCAGTCCTCGCTCTCTGGTGGCGACAGGGCTAGGATTCTGTTTGCCCACAATGTAGATATATTGTACTAAACAAATAATAGTTTAAAACTTGATAGAGCACTTAAATTTAGTCAGGCTAAAACATATTTCATTTTAAAATTAGGCTGATAAAAAAAATCTCCATTAAAGTCACAACTGGATGTGTGATCGCACAGCTAATTTAATCTTTATATCCTAAAATCAGTTGTATTTCTTTCTGGATGATATATACTTTAGTAACAGTGTTCACCGGTAATATGAATTTAGTAGCAGTTCATTTTAATCCACCAGTTATTTATATCTCAGACATCTGGTGACCAAACACCAACAGGCTTTTGATCTACAGATGTAAACTTGTCAGCGTCTGTTGTCACCAAGACTCTTGATAAAGACATTTGGCTATCTGGTGCCCTCCTTGCCAAATGCTTGAGTTACTTCACATTATGTGCAGAGTCAGACAGAATGAATATGGACACAAGGGTAGCTTTGTGTGTAATGATACTAATACAGTATTAAGACTCCAACATTATGACCAGATGGTGCTACATGGTAGATATGTGGTGCTGGAGTAACTGATATGAAAACAAAACAATTCATATGTATATATTTCATCTATCAAAGACAGTTTAAGTAGTTAATTTTCCTTTTCTTTAGATGAGAATATCTCCACAGCACTTAAAATCATTTTCAATTTAGTGTATATTCAATGATTTTAGTCAGATCAAAATCTTTTTTGATCAAATTTACTGTTATGACGCATGTAACCTAGTTTTAAAACCAGCAAACGCTAAGTGATAAAGGTGGGGTTTTTATTTTATTCCTAATGTCCAAAATGGCAGGTTAACGCCTCAAAATGTTATTTACCTAAACTACCTCTGTAACTCTGCCAAAGTTAACCCAGTGAAGCCAAAAACACCTTTCACTAACATCAATAGGTCTAACGTGACCATTTGATTTATGTAACATTAGCTGTTAGCTAATGTCCACAATACGTTAGCACACCTTCAGCAATTTAAGCTAGCAAAATAAAGCAATGTTAGTATAAACTTAATATTTCTGACTGTTCCCAAACCTAAGACATGACATCAGCTTTATCGTTGAAAATATTTTTAAATTTCACGTTTTATACACAATTTTAATTTGGACATAATGTTAAATAACTTTGATGTAAGATCAATAAGCTAACATTAGCTTAGCTAGCTGATTAGCGTTAGCTAACATTAACAACAACAAACACAAGCTAGCTTGCGCTTATCTTATAAAACAAAGGTTTTGCAAAGATGTAAACTAATATGAAAAATGAAGGGCTTAAAGGAAAATTTGTTATTAGAGTATGTCTTTTTTAATAATTATTTAATAATTCATTTAACTCTAAAGGTCAATAGCCGGGGTGCTGTTCTGTGGACTGGAGGGAATGCTAAACTGTTTACAGCTCGCTGAGAGAGGCACTCTGGTTCTGTAAAGGTTTTACTAAAATAACCTTCTGAGAATATTCCTAGAACTTTATTTAAAGGCTGCAAAACTATAATCTAAGGGGAACCTTTAGGGAACATGCCAGAAAGGTTACCTGCTTGCTAACTATAGTCCCTGTCAAACTGTGAAGTGATAACTTAAACTTGGTCCAGAGATTATGTGTCATTATGTCTTGTAATGTATAATACCAATACTGTTAATGAGTTCTTATTTTGACAAGTCAAATCTTATTCTGCACAGAATTAAGTTGGCCTTCAGCTTCAGAAACATACAGTAATTTCTCTGCAATTAAGTAGGCTTGCTTGAGTAAAGGAGGCTATGTAAAAACTGTAAGTTGAGTATGTTTTATTACTTCCTATCATGTTATTGATTTATAAGTAATCAAGGTATTAGACCTAACAGTAAAATTCAAAGTAGTGTTGAAACCAGAAGTATTTCTGGAGAAGTGTAATGCATCATATTTGATGTGCTTTTGTTTATCAAGTCACATCTCACAAAAACTGTAATAAATACTGAGAGATTAAGTACTTACTGTCAAAGTGTTGACTGATAAGGTTAAGTAAGAAATCTGGTCCAAATCTTATGCGCAATTATTTCTTGTAATGTTGAGACACAGTACATTGCATTATGTTTTTGAGCTCTTGTTTTGCAAGTCAAATCTTAATATGCAAAGAGAGCTGTAAAGCTTTTCTTCCTGTAAAATATAGCCTACAATAATTTCCCCTAAAATGTCAAGTGAATGTACTTGTACATGTTAATACTTGAGTAAAGAGCCAGCATGTCAGAACTTAACTTAAATTAAAAAAAAATTGTTATTTCCAACCTAACATGTTACTATAGCTCAATTTCCCTTTGTGACTCATAAAACAAGAATTAGACCTAGCACTAAAATACAACTAAATATCAAAGTAAAAGTATGCACTGTGAAGAAGAAGTATAGTCCCCGTGTGAAATGACAACTTAAAGTTATAAACCTGGTCCAGGTGTTGTAATTACTTTATGTAATGATGGGAGATATAATACATCATATTCTATAAGCTCTTGTTTTGAAAGAAACGTTTGAAAGAAAGTATAGCATATCTGAAATATAATGGAAATTTTCAAGAACCACAGTTGTATTTAGGTTCAGCACTTAAATATGTTTATCTCCTTTCTAAATAACATGTTCTCACGTAACTGCTTATGACAAATGTGTCTTTTTTGTACCACAGTTGACAGTTCCTGCTAAAGTCATCAATACTGTCAGAACATTTTGGACTTTAGCAGGTTTGGATCCACAAGGCAGGTTTGTGATATTTATATTTTAAAATTAAAACTATAATCTGAGGGTTGTTAACTCCACAAGGTGATTCTTTGATCAACACACCTTGGACCAGAGGGCTGTCAATACCAGCCGTTGTAGTCATCACAAGGAGAAAAGAATTCAGAGAGACAATAGAGGCATAGAGGCATAGAGGAAGGCATAATTGTGGGAGTTACTGTTTCAACAGTTTTGAGGAAGGAAAAAAAAATGGCATAGATGCACATTATCCTGTTTTCAATGAAAAATCTGCTTAATTATCTGTTTAAATAAAGAACACAAGATGTTTGAAAATGAAAAATCATGTAAAGAATGTCTTTGGTGAAGTCAGACTTTCACTGAAACCAGACATATACATTTGGGGGGAGGTGCGAGAGCAGACGAATTTCCTATAAAAGTCATAGAGAATTTTTATGGCCTTGCCTCTGTGCGTTTGTGGTCTGAGGACACCAGTATATTATTATGTCAGCATAGGAAGTTTGCACTACAGCATGTTTTATGGCTGCTGCTTCTATTTATGTTCAGCATTAAAACGTTAAAAAAAAAAAAAACTTTAAAAATCTGGTGCAGACTCTTGATGTGAGAACCCTCTAATTGCTTGAACTGTGGTGCTCAGATAGTTAAAACTTTATTGCAGGTTTCTGGTGGGTGAATCCTGCAGTCAGAGGTGGTGAGGAGGACACTGTCTGACCGCTCTGCTGGCAGACAGCCAGGCAGCTATTGAAGGGAACATGATGATCCCGTTAATTATAAAGGTGACATAACACAAGTGAACCTGATTGTGCAAACCCACAGGGATGTTATCAGCCGGCTGAGTAATCTTCTGAGCAATCAGGAAGAAAGTAGGTTTCACACACTCTCGTATTAGAACATTTTATTCATGTTGCTAGAGAAAATAGTACAGACGCAGAATGACTGCGTGTTTGTGAGCTAATGACAACCAGCCCTCACCATGCACCACCACCTACCTGAAACCATTAACAATAAATACATAGATATATGAAAACTCATCAGGGCTCCGGCTCAGACAGAGTTTTGTTTATTTTCCCAAACCCTCCTCTGTGCTGCGGTGTCCTAGTAGCTTTGCTGGCACTTCCTCTCGTCTTGTATGCGCAAGTGGAGGTCAAAAATGAACTCAGCTGACCCGAGTTGAACTGGAATGCATGAATAGATTTCTATACTGACACATGGCCTGTGATGTTGTCTTCCTTCCTCAAACATCACGAACATCTTGTTTCTGTTGTGGTGACAGCAGCAACCTGGTAGGAAACAGGAAGGCTAAAGGTTAAATCAACAGTTTGTACCTGTTGCATAGGAGTATAATAAACATCTTTATACAGACTTATTATTCTTGTGTTGAGCTTTTTTACTACTCTGAGTAAGAGCTCAGTACTCACTCACTAAAAAGCTGTGTGTTTCATGTTAAAATAAACACACAAATAGCAGGTCTACTTGATAACTGGCTTACACATTTACTAAATATTGTATGAAGGACTAAAATCTGACAGGCAGTTGCGAAAATACGTCTGTCTGAGTGAGTGTCTTGGTGTAACCAGAAGCACGCGGTTGAGTTCATTCAGGGATACAGGCTGCACAGTCATCAGGAAGTGAAACAGAACAGAATGTGCTGTACTAATCTGATTGAAAAACACTGCCCTGAGTGGAGGCATGAGAAAAAAAAAAAAGATGTTTCATTTAAACAGCTAAAAGGAGAATCCTATGGCAGCAGGGGGATATGTACAAAGACAACAGAGTGAGCTTAACTCTTCATTTGGTGATACAAAAGACAAGTGGTGAGGATGAGGTTAGAAAAGACCTCACTCTCACACAAACATGCACGCTGCGACTAAAATAAAGCCGGGCAACATAATGCTCTTTGTTTGTGTTCTAGGCATCCGTGTTACGTACATGGGAGTAATCTCCTGAGTGATCCCTTTTATCCCTGAACTTTTTCCCCCTGAAGAAACAGTTCTTTACCGCTGTCTCTGCCAAGGACCCTAAATAAACGATTCCTCGCTCATGAAGAGAAACACAGTGCAACGGTGACTAACTGAGCAGATCCTTTTTTTTTCCACTTCAACTTGAACTTTAAATAACTGTATGTTTGTCTTGACAGGATTTGCGGCTCATTTTATATCCATCAATAATCAGTTGTGATGAGTTTACATTAAATAGATAGGCTGACAGAGGTGAAAGAAGTATTCACATATTTTAAGCCGCAATAGTACATACATGCTGCATTACAAGGAAAGGTCACACATTTAAAATTTCAGAAAGGCAACAAAGATTATTTAAACTAAAGTAAAAGTATTATCATGCATGCAGAATGGTCTGTTACAGTGGTACAGTAAATATTATTATAGTATTGGACTATTAAGTGTAAGAAGCATGTAATTTGTTATGACTGGTCGAGGTGGACCTAATTTTAAACTTTATACGGTTGAGTAATTTAATATATGAGAAGGAAATGTATCTAATAAGTTAACCATCTGTTGTGATTCAGAGAAATAAATGGAGTAAAAAGTACAACATTTCCCAACATCAACATTTCTGAAATAGGGTAAAGCAAAAATGTGAAGCGGCAGAAAAGTATTCAAGTGCAAGTGCCTTAAAATTTTACACAGTACTTGAGTGAGTGTACTTAGTAATATTCCACCATCGACACAGACATTTGAAAAGGTCAGCTGAGGAGGTTTTTGTCAGACATAAAAATGACCTGTATTCATTTACAATCTGCCTTTAACTTTAAGGGCTTTTTTGTGCGTCCCCTTAATGAGCAGGCTTTGTTATTTAAAAGCCTGAGCACTGGATTACTGTCATGCATAACTGGAGATGTGGGACTTCCAGATGTTTGGCTCCTTTTGTCTTGTCCGACTTTTTGTCAGTTCATACTCTGATCCTAAATGAACATTATTATCGAGGAACGTAACGCTAATGTTCCTTTGGAGACCCTCTTTAACGACTAGGAAAACACTTTTAACAGTGACTCATCTCAGTGATTTTTCCTGCTTTTATCAGAACATATTGAACAGATAAGATATTTCAGAGGTCAGCTGTAATATATGCTAAAAGAGTATAATCATCAGTACACAAAGGATCATAAATTTAAATCAGCAGCACTTTAAACAAAAACTGAATATTATAACCGCCAAGAAGGGAGGGTTTATCGCAGGTTCGTTGTATTAGACCGCATTAGTTCTAACTCGGTGTACCTAATAAACTGGTGTGCAGGTGTTCATGTTAGCCTAAATAACACATAAACCATGACATATTTCCTTTTTTTAACAATGCTTTCTGACCATTTCCGCATTTTGCCACTTTCTTCTCAGTGTAAACCCATTTTGTGGCAATGGGGAGGGTTATAACTTTAATACTTGTCTACATGTTGCAGATTAATGACATTAGAAATTTGATTTTGAAGTTAATGTTATTCAGGGTTTGTGAGACCCCAAGAGATGAGGAAGTAAAATCATTGTCACTGAGACATAATGAACTGAACTTGATACTGAAACAACTCTCTCCGTCTTGGCACAGGCCTTAACCTGTGCTAATGATGGTTATTATTCTTCTTTAAATGATCTGGCATCAGTCACATGGAAGCCGGGTACATAGTAATTGCACTGTAATTCTGTCACGTCAGACAACCCCTTAACCAAAGCTTGAGACACGTCTGAGTAATTGCTTGGCAACTAATTTGACTGCTTATAATGGTAGAGCCCTTACCCAAACATATTAAGAGAGTGACACTGTTAAGATAATTTCCACAAACAAGACACGTGATATGTTTGGGTTACAAAGGAGGATGCTTCAAAACAAAGTCAGTAGCACTGTTACTGACCGTGAAACGTGTTTGATTAAAGACTATATTTATATACAGTACCATAACATAAGTTACAAGGAGAGATTTCCACTTCCAGCACAGAGCACATAAAGATAAGCATTTTCTCTCATCATATGTTTCATTCTGCGATGTGACGAGTGACAGGTTCAGGGTCAGAGAGGTACAAACACGTCTGTTACTCACACCTCTTCCCCTGCTCAACGCTACTTACGGGAAGTGCACATACAGTATCTAACCACCCACCTGAACATGAACAAGGGGTCGTTTGTGGTGTTTTTCTCCTCTTGAGCAATAACAGTCCCGCTCTGTTGATTTACTTACGTTCCTTGCACAGTAATCACTACATGGCAGGCAGTAACTGCTAAAGTGCATGAATACAGTTTATGTTTCCTGTCAACATGAAACATGACAGCTAAATGATATACTGTCTGCGTCTGTACGGGCAATGCATTTGAAGAAAACATGACATAAATATGACAGGGATTTTTCTCAGACTCGCTATTTGGGCTGCCTGGATATTTGCAGTCACATCTCAATAATTGAAAATATTTTATTCCTCTTGTCAGATGTGGAAGAACTCGGATCCTTAACTCGAGTAAAAGTACAAACACAAAAATACTCCATCACAAGTAAAGGTAAAAGTGAATGCATTATAAGCTTCATTTACTTCAGCTGTTAAAAGTAATATTTGTTTCACAGAGAATCAGCCAATTGTGACTTATATGATAAATATTAAACTATCAATAATAAGGTTGGAACTACATTTGAATACTTTATATACAGTTATTATAGTATTAAACAAGGGGTGAGGTCCTTCACAAAGGGTCACAAGATAAATCTGTGGGGTCGTGAGATCATTAATGTGGTGAGAAAGAAGAAAAACACATTTCTGACTGCAACAAATTTGAATTCATTTTTCAGACTTTTCTATATTTTTAGCTTAGTTTTACCTCTTTGGGCCTAAAATAGTTATTTCAATGAAACAATGTGAGAAGTTTATATGGAGAATCTCTTTGGTGGAACTGCTTAACATCTAATAGACATCGGAAACATTAGACAGCTTTTTGTAAAGGGTGAGGTGCAGGACAAAAAGGAACGCAACCTCTGATTTTTTTGTTAAAGGATTTATTGTTTTTCACGTACTGATAATGTTTTTAATGTAAACTTTTAATCTAGTGGAGTATAAAGTACCATTAAGGCTTGAATTACGACTTACATATGCATGGTAGGGCATGTAAAATTTCCCAAAATTCTCAACTCTACATTCAGTGGTGCACGCAACTTGGTACAAAACATGTTGTGCAGGATTGCCAACTCTCTTGCACTGATCATGACACTACCGGTCAAGCCAACCACTGCTTGGATTTTGATGTGCATCTATTTATGCTATTATGGTAGAGGTCCTTGGAGTGGCAAAAAAGGACATAGAAAGATGCACGTTAAAGAAACAATTTATTACACATCATATATTAAATGAGGCTTGTTGAATATGTGGCGTCACCAAGGAAGTCCTAATACAATAAACCTTTTCATAATAGGTTTGCGAAATGCAGTGGATTTCTGCTTCATTGCACATTAGTGTAGAGGGAAAGTTTGTTATAATGACACAGTAACATATTGAAAATGTCCTCATTTTTTTACTCTCACAAATTAAATGTATTTTCTTTCAGAGGTTTGTTAACATTTTCAATGTAATCCTGTTCAGGATGACCCTGACTACAACTATGTAAAATATGAAGCTACTTTACTGTACAGTTTTTGAGAAAACTAAATGGGAGGTCAGCTAGACTTACATTACAACATAATGAAGATTTCCTTGCAGTTGAACTTAGAAAAAAAAATGTTGCAGTGGTTTATCTGGCCAGGCTATGGCGGAAGTGCAGAGAAAAAAGAACTAATATTACAAATGGTGCTGTAAAACAATAGTAGTGCAGGTCATTTTAAAAGTTCCATGCACCAGTGCATGAAATAAAAGTTGTCAATGAGAAGACAGAGAAAGGCAAGAAAGGCACAGGAACACAGCATGACTGTCTATAGCTTATTATTGTCGACTTGCGCTCATGTAGTGTGTTACTGTGGCACTACTGTTGTACAGTGTTCATTTAATACATACATAAAGTGTGTACTCCTACCGCGTATACCTTTTAGTTCAGCTTCTGTCCAAAACTTTACTTTATTCTATTGGTTGTTTGTGATTTAAGGCTTTTTTTTGCTTTTATCTTTTCTGACATAGCTGCTGTAACCCTGAAATTTCCCATCAGGTTTAATTAACCACTCTCTCTACCTACTTATCTCTGCACAGAGTGTACTGGATGGTTCTGGTGATGGTAACAGGAGAAAATGTGCCTGCACAGTTAAAGTGGCTCACTGTGAGGAGGACAGAGACAATGTTGGCTGAAGGATTATGAAAGCTTGTGCAGGAGCAGAGCAGACTAAAGGCCTACTCTTCAGCATGTAAATTAGCCTGGATTCTCTTTATTTGTGTTGTAACCTCAGCAGTTATGTAATGGGTTATTGATTCACTATTACTGCAGGATGACTAAATAGTTTGTCTTTATAATAAATGCTGAGCACAGTTTAAAAGAGGTTGTTAGGGAAGTTGTTCTGATGTTCAGAGGGTAATGTTGTGCACCTGTTTGGAAGAATTAGAAAACATGTTTTTTTTTTTGGAAAGAATCAATCTGTTTTCTCAAAGAATGTCTGGATAAAATTGTATGTTTTAGGGCTACTTTAAGTCTTCACTTACCTCCTAACATTTTCTTTAATTGCTCTTGTATAGTTTTACTTCTTCTACAATTAATATATACCTCTTTTTTTGTTTATTCTTATTCTTATTTTTGTTTATTCTGTTCTGTTCTGTATTCTGTTGAATTCTCAGTTAACCTGTTCTTATTTCTGTCTTTGCACTGCTGCAACATATGAATTTCCCCTCTATGAATCAATAAAGCTTCTCTTCTCTTAAGATACTCTGTATTTATTGTATTGTGTGTCTCCTCCAGTACAGTAGATGGCAGTATGTGCATCCAACATTCACCAATACACACAAAAAAGAAAGGCAACTGTGGGCAAACAAGGGATTTGAGGGAATATAAATAGTACAGTAAAGACAAAAACACTAGTTTGAACAATAGAGGTTTACTTAATCAGCAATAATATTGATGACTTTGCTTAAATTAATAATTTAGTTTAATTTTATTCTTACAAGTTTTTAAATGTGATAGAGTTTGAAGATGTATACTTCAATCTGTTTGTTTAAATGTAACATAAGATGGTAATTTCATGATGAATTTCATTTTATTTATGTTAAATCTGGCTAAAATAATCAGCAAATTAATGACATATCAGGTCATTGCTGGAGAAATCAGGATTGTTGGATATTAATAGCCAATCATGTTCTTTAAATAAAATTTCCCTATCAAAATATGTTTTAAGATGCAACTGAAACTCAGCTGTCACATGTACACACTGAATAAACAAAGCGTTTCCCCCATGTGTTTACGCAAAGAGCATTTGTCATTTATATTAGGAATGTACTCATAAATATTGCAATTAACCAGGTGACACTAGTGTATGATTTAAAATAACAGCTCTTTGATTCAGGCACCACATATTTGTAGGGGAAAGTAAACACAGTATTTCATGTTCTGCCATCAAGGGCTCACTCTGTCCATTTATATTTATATTTATCTAATAGGCATTAATGCTCTAAGGTATTGTTGATTTTTTTGTCAAATATGGAAATACCATCAATAGTTATGTTGTAATTGGCTAGAGTAACAATGTCATATCTATCTGACTTGTAACATGATAAGCATATAAGACCAGATGATGCTTCATTCATTGCTGTACTGTGGTCATGTTGGGAGACAGTTACACTGTATCTCTCTATAAAATCCTCCTTTGACTACAGGAGCCTGTCACAGTTGCATCACTGTTTTACAAGCAGAAGTTGTTGTTTAACCGATCTTCAAATATAATGTTTTGTTTCTGTATGTGATACTGAAAACGTGAAAAACATTTGTGAGAAGAACAGTTCTGTGTAAACAGAAGGGGCCAACATATATGAGCTTGACTATTACAAGTTGGAGAGTTTGGAAGTTTAACGACAGCATAAGGGCACATTAATAAAAAAATTTAGACCACCCACTATTTTAAACAGAAGGTTTGGGATAATATTTCACGTGCAATCTTGATCTTTTGGAAACCTTTTGATCCGGTTGATCTTGTAAATTTGAGTGTGGAGAATTTGACAGAGTTGGCAGTTCAGCGTGTCGAGACACCTTCAGAACTTTTCAAAGTATGACTTTTCTAAACACCTGTATCTAATAAAAATAAATGCATGAATAGTGGAGGACCTATTTCAAATTGGTTAGAATATAAATTTAAGGGGTCTGGTATTGGTACTGGTGTTGTAATCTTTTAAACAATACCCAGCCCTGCAGGTAGCTGAGGACTGACATCACACTAGCCATTTTCATCCGCTTAACCAGGGCCAGTCGCGGGGGCAGCAGGCCAAGCAAAGCACCCCAGACGTCCCTCTCTCTAGCAACATTTTCCAGCTCCTCCTGGGGGACCCCAAGGCGTTTCAAGGCCAGGTGAGATATGTAATCCCTCTAACGTGTCCTGGTCTACTCCAGGGCCTCCTACCAGTGGGACGTGCACGGAACACCTCCAATGGGAGGCGCCCAGGAGGCATCCTGATCAGATGCCCCAACCACCTCAACTGACCCCTTTTGACTTGAAGGAGCAGAGGCTCTACTCCGAGCTCCCTACGGATGTCCGTGCTCCTTACCCTATCTCTAAGGCTGAGCCCAGCCACCCAACAGAGGAAACACATATCGGCTGCTTGTATCTGCGATCTCATTCTTTCGGTCACTACCCAGAGCTCATCACCATAGGAGAGGGTTGGGATGTAGATGGACACTAGCGATATTCTCAAATGAAAAGGGTACCATGTCAGAGACCTCAGCTGGTACTGTGTATAACATGTCCCAAGTGTCACCCAGTGCTCTGATGTTGACTGCCCATGAGACCATGAGACAACGGACCATGAGACAGTGGAAAACACTATGGTAGTGAACCACACCCAGGTTGTTGTTCCATCCACGAAGTATTAATGAGTTGTTTTTTTACAATTGAGAAAAAAAAACTAAGCCTTCTCTCTTAATAGCATGGTGCACTTACACATCAGCTCATATATGAGGCCCTGGTGGAAAAACGAAGCTCCAAATGATCCTGGCTGAAGCCATGTGTGGACGCAGCAGCTCTGGTACCATCAGGGTCCATACTTCAATGTTGATGACAAAACCAGTCACAGACAGATTCTTTTGAAATATGAAAAAATGTCAGTATGCAAATACTTGCTGTATAAAACCTTAGTCTCATGATGTTAAACAGCGTTAAAGTGAATATCATTATACGGCTTGGACTTGAACATACATGGGAAAAAGACACGGTAAAGAAATCTGAACCCTACAGGGAACTATTTTTGGAGTAAGTAGAACAAAACAGTGTATGCAAGCACATGGCAAATTGAGCATGTGGAACTGTTAGATAACGTGTGTGTATTTTTACAGAGTTGGTATGACAGTGTTAAAATGTCCGGCACTTAGAAAGCATGAAATGAAATGATCTGGATAAAAGCTCAATTGCATTACATCAGCTTTGGTTAGACTGCAATCTAAAATTGTGTAATGACACTACAATTAAACCACTACTAAATTATAAATGTTACACTTGCTTAATCTGTTGAAGGAAGGGGCTGAGCAGTTCAACATACCAGAGTAGAAGTCAAGCTTCTGCTGCAGTATCTCTCTATTTTTGTGTTTTAAATCCTCTTGCAGGGACTTTGCTTCTTCTTGTGCCTTCTTTCCCAATCCGTGGCATTTCTTAGGTCCTGACACAATTTACCTTCTCCTGAGCTTCAGTTACTTGTCTTTTAACTTCAGCTGGGTCAAGGGCATACTAATACTGACTCCTGAAGGTCCTCTGACAGCTGATCATCAACATCAGGACATTCTGCAGCAGCTTTTCGTTAGGTCCCGCTTGACCTGGATCTACTGGACACCTGGAGATAAAGTAGAAAACACTTAGAGTATTCATGTAGTTATAGTTTGTAAGCAAATGTGTATGTGAGAGATAAAGATCACACGAAAAGTTGTCATTGTTTATATAGAAACAATTTCTTAATGATACCAACTTTCCAAAGATGGTCAGGAAGTGACATGGTCACTCCCTCCTTTAGACGAGTTTTCTGTCTAGTCATGTCAAAGTCTTCAGCCTTGAAGTGACAGCTGCAGAGAACTCAACGGTCATTTCCTCAAAGTCCCTTCTCCTCAAAAGTGCTGTCCATGCTTGTCTTTTGATCTTATGTTTTGGAATCCTGTGCACAAACCAAGTCCGTCTGAAAATACACGATGCAATTTTGCATGCAACAACGAGACACAAGAACACGTATTACAGCTTAAGTCCACACTGTAAAAATGTGAATATCTGTCAAGCATAATCCAAGCATGCTGTTCCACTTTATATACTTCATATCCACCCAACCTCATCATGTATGTAAACAACCTGTTACATCAGTGTTTATAGAAGTCAAGTGTTGTTCACCTTGTTTAGCTTTGTTGTTCTTGTTTTTTGTGTGTGAACACATACACTGACCAGCCAAAACAGTGCAACCCCCAGTGTGTGAAGAGTACAACACTAATCATCTTGTACAACTGAAGCTGATCTGTGCATGACTCAAAGTCCTTGAGCTTCAGAATTGCAGTCTCATGCTGAGTAGGTGTTTATTCAGTCCATTTTTATTGCATTATATGAGAACAGAGATTTGTTTAACTGCCAAGAAAACATATTGGCCAGTCTCAGGCACTCCATTAATAATGGGTGTGCTGGTTCATGTTGGTCTATAGCCCTAACAGGGTAGAGAACTTTGAGCTAAGTTAGCCTTAGCTCTATGAGTGATCCAGATTTAGCTCGCTAACCTTCTACGCAGAACTTTTACAACTAAATCAAATATGTTTTTACATAGTTTTTTTTAAAGATATTTTATGGGCATTTTTTGCCTTTAATTGACAGGACAGTGAAGTGTGAAAGGGGGACAGAGAGAGTGAGAGACATGCAGCAAAGGGCCACAGGCCGGAGTCGAACCCGGGCCACCACTGCAACAGCCTTGTACATGAGGAGCCCGCTCCACCACCAAGCCACCGACGCCCCGTTTTTACATAGTTTTGATCTGAGCTTTTGTCTTTATAATTAAGCCTGGCAGGCTTAATTATAAAGACAATAGCTCAGATCAAAACTGGAATATGGAATGTGTGACAAGCAGATAAACATCATGAAACATGGGAGGAAAAGGCCAGAAGTGAAAGTTATGCTCAAGCTACGCTACTCTTTTTTATGAGAAAAGAATATGTGTGTGTGAAAAAACCTTCAAATCATATAACATAACAATAATATATAATAACATTTGCCTAATCACTAAAATCAACAGGCCTTAATTTGGGACAGGCCCTTTTCCTTCCATACAAAACTGTTGTTCAGCAAAGGATATACAATCAAATTGTTTCTTTAAACCAGTATGAATATTGTATAAAAAAATAGGCTTCAGATAAATATTTATTAAGAATCATTCATTTGATCTAGCTCTGACAAACAGAGCATCAGATAGACAGAGTTACAGCACTCAAGGATTACAGCACCCAGCATACTGGCACAACACCATTTTATCCTGTTCAAACAATACTCTTGGATATACAGCTTGGATTAAAAACCCTTTTAAAATCGTTTGATCTGAGGACCCTTACAGACTAATAGACTATGAATAACTTACAGGGTAATCAAGGAATGGACACATAATTAGAGGGAGCCAACAACCTGCTTTTATACAGCTGAAGAACTTCTATTAAAAAAGACCAGGAGTCTAATTGAGACAAGCCTTTATTTGTCTAAATGTGTAGCTACACTG